ACAAGTCTGCACTACTGGCATGGATCTCAGTGGGGGCTTCTGAGCACTACTGTAAAACAAATAATGATGATAATGCTACACTGCAACCAAAGAAAGATCATGTTTATTGGACTCACCTGATGGTCTCGTTTGACCCAGTACAGTCTCCCTCTTGTCCCCAAAGGCAAAATTAAATGAAGCCTTACCTGGGGGACTGGTATTTAAATAATCAGAGTTGATCCTGCTCTCCTTTCAAATCCTGCCTATTGATAATATCTTCATCATTATGCAAGACCTTGTTTATGCATTTTAATCTTCATAATTATAATCTGGCAGGGAGTGATGGTTAAACACTGCATTTAATTAACAATTTAGACCACTGGAGAAAGAAAGAAAGTAAAAAGAAACCTCCACAATTGCTGAAGAAAAAAAATATTTCAAAGGGGCTGTGTGTTCTAGCATCTCATTAGGAAGGAAAAAAATCTTCACGATTTCAAATGAGTTTCAGAGAAAGCGGGGGAGGCTCAAGATTTCAGACACTTAAAAAAATATATCAGGGCCAAATCTTAATGAAGTTATTTAGGAGAGGAGCAGCATTCTGATCAGTGGAATTGTTGCTGTGATATAGAGATTTGTATAAAGAGATTTCAGGGTTTGGCCATTTTAGCTTGAAGTTTCCATCTCTTCCATTGTGTTCTGATCATGTCTGAAGAGGAGATAGGTCTTTGTTTAATTTCAAAGGACATCTGGGCTGCTGTCTAATATTAGGGAGTGGGTCAAATGTACCTAAATCTGATCTGACTCTTAGACTTGTATGAGTCAGGATTAAATCCATGGAAATCAGTGGAAATTCACAACCCATGTCAGACCTGTACTGGGCTCCATGTTCCAAAACTGGTCCATGAGTTTTACCTCACTGAGAACATAGAGCTTGGACCAAGGAACAATTTTCTTTGGTGGTTAGTATAACTACCATCCCATGTTAAGCTTAAGCATTGGGATACTTTGATTGGATAGGCCCTTAGTCACAATCCTTTCTCCAGTTCTACCCCAGACTAAAATACTCACAATAAGAGGCTTTGGGATTCTATCCAAGAGAGGACAGAGCCAAACTCTGCTCAGTTGAATTTACTACAAATGTGGACTAAATCCAGTGTGGAGTCACGTCTGACCTACCTCATAGTAGCTAAGAGAAGAATCTGGCCATGAGTTTCTGTATTCTGATAGGTAATAAACCACAGGAGGGTTTATGCAGGCAGGAGACTGTTCATTACCAACCAGTGAGGGGATCAGCTGTCCATAGTCCTGAAACACCAGAGGACTCGCAGCTTGGGTCATTATACAGAGCAAGGAGGAAAATGACAGCAAATTGCTAAGCATTAACATTCATCCTCAAAGGGAGCAATAAAAAGAAGGCATGGAATACAGTCTCTTGCTCTTATCAATTCATTTGTGGACACTGAAGAAACACATGTCTCTGGCTTCCTATATACACGCTTTCACACCACTCACCACTGCTGAGAATCAGGAGATTGGGACAATGACCACAGTTTCAATTCATAAAGAAGTTGGGCTGGAAGAAACCTCAAGAGGTCATCTAGTCCAAGCCCCTGCCTGAGGCAGGAAAGGTCTTGTGTCCTGTACGGGGATCAAATCTGCGACCATAGCATTATTAGCGCCTCACGGTAACCTTAGTGATGAATTCTAATTTACAGAAGGTGTTTCCTTGAATCTGTCCCTGGTGGGCTCTTTGATTTTGAAGCCAAAAAGGAGTCCTCCCACCAGATTCTGTAAATCCTTCTTCCAATGTTTTATGTCCCTCAGTGTGTCTGCAGAGTGCTGCCAAACAGTGACTCTCCTCCATCCCTTGGGTACTTACAGATTGGGGACTTTTTGTCTCTTTACAAACATTATCAGGCAAGGTAAGTAATGAATGAATTGACTAATGTCCTTTTTCCTTTCAACAGGCCAACTCTCCTGCTGGTATTTGGTGACTATACTGGACCTATGTCAATTTGAACCAGTTATCAATCCATCCCATTGATTTTGGTGG